GCAGAGTTACGGTCGATGAAAGTAAGTAGCAGATGCGTGGCATCAATGATGACAGCCGGATCATCAAAGGTGAACTCGAACTGATGCTTGACGGTCTGATACCCACTCTTGCGCAAATTCCGGCTCTCCTCAAACTTGTTCTGGATTTCAGTATGGATATGCTTCGCCACGAACAGCTTCTTGTCAACTTGTTTGCTGGCAATCGCCTGGTGATCCAAACTACGCCAGTATGCCTTCTGCATCTGCTCGCGCCATATTTTATCCCATTCACGCTATTGCCAAGGTCAGTATCCACAAGATTAACAAATAATTTGCCTTATGTCTTACCTGACTCGCTTTCCACTCCTCACACTTCTGCTTAAGACGGAAAAGAACGATGGGCAGAACATGGGTTGGTCGCTCGAACATCTCCTTGATGATCTTCTCCCCGCGTTGTCTGTCGTAGATCTTTTTGATCACCCGCTGGTAGATGGCCTCGCTCTGTCCGCCAAGGCCAGGCGGAAGCTTGAACGCGGCGCACTCGGCTTCCGACATAACGAGGAATTGCTGCACAATCGGCTCGATAAGCTGAATCGTCCGCGTGCACGCCTCAATATGGTGGTCATAGTCATGCCTGTCCTCTTCAATGCGATGCAGGGCGTCTTCAAACTGGTTCTTACGGTGGGCAACGAATCCAGAATCTTCCGACGCCCACGTGGGGTGAGAAGCCCATTCATCATTAAGCACACTGTAGCACAGCTGATCACGGCCACTGCAAGGCTTCTGGCGCTCACGCTTCGGCAACAGACGATAGCTGGGCCCGAGGGATCGGCAATGAGACAAATTAACAAGTCCAGAGTCTTGTTTCGCTTTGACATCAATGATCTTGTCTTCTGGCTCGTCGACATGCATGAAGCGCTTGAACCAAGCCATCAGCTCCGGGTTGGAGCCAATGTAACTAGCCGCCCTTTTCACAAGCACATGCCGATCGATGAGGTCGGTGGAGTACAGATTGCAAAGCTTCAGGAACTCGCTGAATGTCTGCTTGTTGCCGATGTACTTCTTGACACGGTCAAAGAAAGCAAATTCTTCCTGAGTAGGGGTCAGGGAGAAAGTCGGCTGAATCGGTTCTGGCAAAGCAGGTACGAGGGTGGGAGAAACAGCAGGAACTTCTGCCTGGGAAGGCTTCGTATGATGAACTTTAGCCCTCTTATTGGCATTACCAGCTTGGAGAGCTGGGTTCCTAGCCTGCATATCTCCCATGCGTGCCGCATCCGCAGCCGAAGGACCAGACATTGAAGAACCCATGGAAGATGGGGCGCCTGGCCCATTCCGACGTTTCTTGCCATCCTTCGCAGAGTCCTTGACATTGAACTGGCCCAATGGGGGCATCTTGACGTCGCGGTTCGGAGTCTGAGAAGGAAGAGCATTGGCGTTGGGATAGCTCGGCTCGCCGCGAACATTGCTCATGGGAGCTGCTTCCTCGGCCTGACGAGCTGCAGCCTGCTGCTTTGCATGGGCTGCAGATTCAGGAAGAAATTGCTTGAAGTCTTCCAACAAATCGGGGGCCGTGTTGAAGAGCTGGGTAACTTGGGCATACACATCCCCGATTGGCTTGGATTCACGCTGATAGGTCTGTAGTATTTCAAGGAACTGCTTGTAGATCTCAGGGGCACTTGCAAAGCGGTTCTATCAAGAAGTTTAATGTCAGCTGACTTAGCAACTAGATAACGGATAGCTTGTTTAGTACTCACCTTTATCTTGTTGACATAACTAATGGCATGGTTGAACTCCACCGGTCCACGCTTGGTCAAATCCTGTGAGCCTTGCAGCATGCCGGTGCCGACGCCCGCCAAATTGTTCATAGGCTGGGTCAGACTAGGACCCTGTTGAGACGCTGCTGACACCTGCAACAAAGATGGACGCGTGAGACCCGCAGAAGCAGCAGAGGCAGCACCTTGAAGCTGGGAAACTCCTCGCTGATCCTGCTGATGAGCCATAGCGGCAGCTCCAGCTGCTGCTTGTTGCTCTTGCTGGGTAGGGTATTCAAAGTGATGCTCTTGAGCTTGACCCTGACCACCTTGCTGTCCAAACATGCCAGGACCCATCATGCGGGACCCAGGAGAGTATGATCCTGGAAGATTGCCCTGCTGCTGCTGCTGCTGCTGCTGCTGAGGCTGGGGCTGTTGCCACCCAGGTCGAGACTGGTCATAGTATTCAGCGCGTCCGTGAGGGCCCATGCCACCAGATGGACCAAGCTCGCCAGAAGAATCCAGAGAGTGTCTAGCACGGGGCATACTCAAGGTATTGGTCCCCGAGGGCGTGGTCACTCGAATCGCGTCTGGGTTGTCCTCTGTGCCACACTCGATCCGATATCCAGGAGGCAAGAACGTGTTGAACCCTTGGATGAGAGCGGGGTGTCCATTGAAAAGAGTAGAAACGCGCTGGATGACTCCGGGTGTATCGATCCTGCTGTCAAGTTAGTCAGGCACGATTCCCGCGGCGGTATAACGCTCACGCTTGGCTCTTGAAGTCTTTCATGATATCTAAGAATCGGTTGTACACATCAGGTTGGTCGACAAAGCGAACCTTCACCTGATCTAGATAACTAAGTGCATCCTGTGACGGAATCGTAAGCCACGGCTTCGTGATGTGGAGCACTGATCCACGCGGCGTGCTGTAACTCACGTTCAGGATTGGCTGCTGGCCCTGGGCAAGTGCCGCCACATTGTTTGGAATCTGAGGGCCAGAGCCATTGAATCCCATCATGGGTTGGCCGGGCGGTCCACCTGGATGTTGCATGTATGACCTGGGTGTACCCTCACCATGCTGCATCTGTGGGCCGTAGATGCCACCAGGCCCTCCCGGCGTAGGCATCGAACCTTGCGGGCCATTTGACGGGTTAGACCCAAGATTTGACAGCAGACCATTGGGGCCGTGAATGGAGTTTGGCACTTTCGAGGCCACCGGCTGATGGATAGGGATAGACCCTGTGTGGCTCTGGACCGGGTGGTGCTGCTGTTCACGTTGTCGCTCCAGCTGCTGTCTCTCAATCTGTTCGCGTTCGCGCTGCTCGCGCTCTCTGTGGTGGGCCATCTCCTCCTGGCGCTGTCTCTCAATCAGCTCGCGTTCTCTAGAGTCTCGCTCGCGTTCCCGGTTGATGGACTGGGGCGAGGGATGTTGCATAGCTTGTCCGATACCCGGGAGCGAGTGACCAGCATTATGACCAGGAGCCGCAGGGTGTTGGCCGTAAGCGGGAGGCTGATGCGGACCAGCATGGCCCTGGCTCAGCTCCGCCAGGCCGGGAAGAGAGTGTCCGCCAGGTTGATTCGCAGGGTGGTAAGGACCTAACAGCAGCGCAGGGGTCAGCCAAACGTCCGAAAACGCTCTGTAAGCCATATCGCGAGACAAATCAGGAGGGAGGTGAAAATCCTAACCAGCTGGAGGGGGGAGAACCGGTCCCGTGGGCTGCGAAGACGGGCCTTGCTGAGGCGGTGGGTTTTGGCTAGATCGCGAAAGAGACACCAGTCAGTCATCGCTGTTGACAAAGACGCAAAAGTGGCTAGAGACAGTAGTGACATACCTGAAGGAGCCCAGAGGACGAGGTCCTTGGTTCATCTGATCCATCCCCGGGTGCGCTGGCGGGCCACCGGGGTGCCAGTTATCATTGCCAGAAGAGTTCATGGTCAGTGGCACATGAATAGAATGTTGACAGTACTGATACCTGCTCAGAGCACTAGGCAACTGCAGGGCAAAGGTGAAAGAAGGTAGTGAGCCTGCGGATGAGGGTCTCGCACGGTGGTTCCTCTACACACGGCTTGGGGTATCTCTTCCTCGAGCTGGATTTCACAGCGACATCACTGTGCTAGAGATTCTGCCAATAGCAGACGGGCAAGAAGACGCAGGAAGCCACGAAAAGACGATCAGCAGGAGCGATAAGTAGGATCCGGGATAGAGGGAAGAATAAGAAAGCGAAAAAAAAAGAGGTGAAGAGCCAGCAAGCAGCAGATCCAGTAGGTGATGATGGTTTGCGCGCAACCGATCACGGATGGTCTCCCGACAGAAGGCGGAGAGGCCTTTGATGGCACTAACCCCTTTCCAGTCAATAGTGCCGCCCCTCGGGTCCATGATTTTCCGGTCGCGACAGTCACTGCAAGCTGATTGGCCCGACAGTGATGCATCCCCGTGGATGTGGCCCCGACGTCATTGACTGACGGTCTGCCTGTCTAAACTCTGGGTAACACAAAATTGGAGACGGTCCGAGTTGAACCTTAGTAACTGCTGTGTGGCAGTGAGCTGTAGGGTTTTACTCCGCATCAGGTATGTTCGACTGCAAATAGGTCCGATATAAAGCATAATATTTATGCAAGACTTTGTCTGTGTAACAAGTTGTGTGGAAAATTTTGATTTTTGGGGTTGTCTCCAGATTTTCGCCTACACAGTACTTCGCATCACTCACCCACTATACTAGATATACTATCAATATTAAATAAAGAAATACTGCTGCTGCTGCTGCTGCTGCTGCTAAGTAACGAACTCTCAAACTTCCTATAGATTCAGTATCTACTCAGGGGCACTAATGTAGTAATATCACCATCGAGTCCGGGCCATTTGGAGTCTTGCTCCAGTGACACCGGATGTGGATTCATCACGCCATAAGCACTCAAATCGCCCCGACGCCTCCCCAATAGGTAACAGAGACCATGGCCTCGTCACAACAGCATATTAGTTCGACAGGCGTCGGGCAGCCAAATGGACTAGAATATCCTCTGCAGGCTCCACGTTGTCTTTCTCTATATCAAGTTCCCACTAAACGCCTCCCCAAAAGACCACAGAACATCACAATATTCCTCGAAACAGACAGGATAGAACGGACACCTCGTCCAAGGATGGAGAGAAGAAGTAAAATGGGCTAAAAGAGGAACAGGGGAACGACGAAGCACTTCACAATCAACTCCAACAGGAATCAGCACAAGAAATGGATTGCTTAACCGGAACTGGCAACTTAATTTTGGATTTGCGACTGCTGCTGCTAGGGAACCTTAATTGTCTTATACCTGTCTTATCTTTGAATCACATAATGACATGTTTGTCCATTAAAAATATATGGCCACTTTGTCACATACTTACAACGCAGAGAAGACAAACAGCTGTACACGCATTAGAGTCAGTAGATGTCCGCATCTTATCGGAAGGCGGGGCAAACGTACGTTATTTGTAGCAGCAATGGCAATACTATCCTCATAAGGATGCCAGCTCATGTGCAGGATCTTCTTGTTAAAGTCGATTTGATCCGCATCGGTCTCCTTCTTCATGCGCCCGCCGACGCCAACAGGGCTGCCTGCTCTGGACCCATTCTTCTTTCCATTTGCACCCTTGTTCATCGGCGTGGGGACGCCAACCTTCTTCGCCTTAAAAGCAGACTTATCCGCCTGCAGTACGATCTCCGTCTCCTTGCTAGGGTCGGTGGGGTAGATCATGAAGTTGTTGTTGTAACTTCCAGTCATCACGTTCTCCGCATCGCCCGAGAAAACAACCTCGAACTTGTCGAAAATGCTGTCATTCTCGTATGTGTCACACAACCGCGGTCGCAAGTGCTCGTGGATGGGGATCGTCTTGACGGGTTGCTTTTCCATGTTGACATCCCAGATCTTGACGGTCAAGTAATCCCTGGACACAATGTAGCGACCGTCATGTGAAAACCGGACGTCGGAAATGGATGATATGATCTCTGAAAAGAAGGAACGGGAGGAGGCATCCTCTTCTTGCTCGAAGACTATACGAAGGAAGCCATGTCAGAGGAGGGTGTCTTGCCAAAGTAAAAAAAAAAAAAAAAACCACGTACGCTTGGAATGTTCATCGCACAATGCTCGCTGCCGCATGTCGGCAAGCTTGATTGTGCCCTTGGAACTGGCATACATGAACCAGTTGCAACTTTGCGGGTGGAACTCTGCAGCCGTGATAACTTCCGTGAGCTCCTCCATGTTCGCAGGTTTAATGTCCACAATGTTAAAGCTCTGATCCTGAATATTAAGGTTCCAGAGGTTGATCCGAAGATCGTCGCTGCTGATAAACGTCTCGCCATCACTGTTGACGGAGATGCTGTTAATGTGGTATGCGTGTGCGTTAGCGTACGTCCGCCGAGGTACAGCCGCTACAACCGTGTCATGGTGTGTCATGCGGGGCAGCTTCAGCATCGAGGGATCCTTGAACGATACACGGGGCGCACGGGGAGCCCCTCCACCACCGACACCCGCAGGAGTCAGTTCACTCGAGAGGTTGTTCTCTGCGACAACCTTCAATGACTTGTCAAAGACTTTCCAAAGCTTTATTGTCTTATCGTTGGTCGAGAGGAGGAAGTGGGAGGCATTTTGCCGTCTGCACCACTTGATTTTGTTGATCTTCTCTTCGATCTCCAAAGATTTCAGGTAGTCAAACTCCGGCTCGTGCGATTGAAATTCGGTGTGAAATTTATATTCGCAGGTTTTTTTCTGACAGACTGTTAGAAACGTCTGTCCTGAGGACATAGAGAAGGCGAGGGCATTGCTACCGTTTCGTTTCTCTCGAATAACACCACTCGTCCTCCCTTGTCACCCGTAGCTAGGTAGTTTCCGGTGTGGTCAAACTCGACGGTTGAGATGATATCCGCTGGCGAGCGAGCGAGCGAGCTATGTTAGCCGGCTCTGAAGGGATATGGTGCGGGGTTGTAGAGCGGGAGCTCGATATTCAGCAATATGAGGTGTTTAGACATACCTTCCGTAATATCTTCCACGTCTCCCTTGTCACCAAAACATCTAGATAATAATTAGCACGAATCGGATACTGCGGGCAAGTCATTTCCTCGAGAACGGGCGGACATCGCAGTTCCCCCACAATATCCCGACACCCACTCGATCCTCACCCGAATGTAGAAGAAAACACAACAAAGATCGAGAGTCGGCGCATCCGCCGGAAACAACTAGCACCACTGCAGCACAGACATGCAAGGGATTCTACTCACTGGGTGAACTTCCAGGTAGGGGTACCTGGTTCCCGGTCTACCATTTTCTTTTGCAATTACCCTTTGTCGGGGTTGTCTATCAGCGACCAAGAAAGGAAGGGTCTAGGGGGCCGCAAATTGAGGATCTCTTTTGCGACGGCTAAGGCGGGGTCTGCAGATAGCGATTTCGTGCTGCGAAAGATTCGAGCTGAAGAGAACTTTTTTTTTTCCACACGACTGTCTAATTTCGATCGAAGCGAGAAGAAGAGGGGTAGCGGTGGGAATGACGGACAGGCGGCGAGGAATCGAGATCGGAGTGAGCCCCAAGTGGAAACAAGGAAGGTCTGGAATATCCGACTAGGGAATGGCAGAGGCGGAGATGGGGGAGGAAGGAAGCAAGGCCGCAACGTCCGACAGCAACGTGAGAGGCGGAGAACCGGGCTGAGTCACTTGCAGACTGGAGAAGACGAATGATTGACAGCCAGGAGCTGATCAGGATAAGAAGAAGAGGAGGAGGAGAGTATGGTTAAATGGTGGGGGTGGGGAGAGAGGAATTTTGTTTTTGGTCTTTTTGGTTTGTGACTTTGGAGTCGGGAAGAGACACCCTTCTCTTCTTGAGGATTTGAATAAGTGGGTTGTGTTTGTGTTAGTGTCTAATAATAATGGAAAACCCAAAGACAAGCACAGACCAGCCGTATTAAAAGACGACGGTCGGTTTGAAAGGGTAGAAAGAAGGAGGGGGGAGAGAGAGGGGGTGGAGGGGAAGAGTAGTTGAGGGCGGGTAAAGTGGGAGGGAGAAGAGGATGACGATGATGGAGCGAGATGGAGGAGAAGTGGTGGAGGAGAGGGAAAGAGAGAGAGAGAGAGAGAGAACTGATGTGGTGGTGGTTGAGGTGAGGCGGTGGTTTGGCAAGACCCGTTCAATCGGTGGTGGGGAGCAAAGTGGCTGCCCGTAAACCCACACGCAGCATTCAACCCAACCTTAGTTAACTCCTCCGTACTAGTTAACCTAACCTAACTGTGCCGGGCGCTGACATCAACCACTGTCCCCTCCATTGCAACCCATTGTGGTTGTTCTTCTGCTTCTTCTTATCTGCATCCATTGTATTATGCATGCCATACTCCTCCATGAAGGACCTTCTTCTGGGTTGAAGAAAGGGCAGTCGAAAATTCAATCCATAATTGACCTGGTCTCCCTCATCTTCAGGGAACAAGATTGTCCTGGCGGTTGCCTTTTTGTTGATCCAGCATGAAGCTCGCCTAACAAGATATACTACTGACCACTATTGAGGCCAACAAAGGATTGAGGGGTTCACTGGTAAGTTGGTAGTAGGTGGATCTCGGTCGGATCATATATACACAGGAGCCAGAAATGCGAGAAATATCTTCATATTGAAGAATTAACCCTCCTCAACCCAGTCTCTACCACTCATTCTTCATACTTAAAACCGTTGCAGCAGCTTCGATGGTTCCTGCCGCGTTGCCTGGAATCTCAGGACTCCCGCACCTTTCTGGCCTGAGGCTCTTCACATGCACGCCTTCCTACGGATCCCGACTCCCTTGGGCCGAACAACTAATCATTCTCGTCCGGAATATCGACAGTAAAAAATTAACTAGCCTCTCTTATCTTTTCTTTTTCTACTCAATCTGGAACTTCTTTTTTGAATTGTTTGTACTTGTCTTAATGTTGTTTTGGCGACCTGGTCCTGTACCTCACTGGCAAGTAGCACTGACTCTCCCCGCCCGCCATGTCCGACCAGAAGAAGCGGGGCAGTGACGACAAGGTCGCAAACACTCACCGCAACGAGACCAGTTCCTCCCAAGGTAGCAATGAACGCCCGGAAAGTCCTTCTCTAACTACTCGAATCCAAAACTCAGCTTCTGGGCTCGCAAAGAATGTTTTTTCTGCCCCTGGCTCGTCCGCAGATTCCGCTCAACTGCTGGCGGGCAGCGGTAAGGCCGGGCACTCATCGTCGCACTCGGCGCTAGCCGCAGCCCAGCAGTACACAGATACTTCTACTGGTACTTCTGCCTCTTCCTCGACTGGGCATTCTTCAATACCAACCCCTGCGGAAACATTTCGCTCATCTTCTACTACGCAACAGGGAGGGTTCCAGCTTCCTCCACTCTCGGAAGATGAATTTCAGCGTACTTACGGCGCGGAATCCCTTGTTGGAAACAATGACAGCTTTATTGCAGGTCTAAGCGCGGGCGAAACCACTACCAAGGGGAAAGGAAAAGGAAAAGCAAGAGTTAATACATCAACGGACCTGCTCTCCAGCGATTCAACTAATCCAATCACACTCGAACAAAGATTCCTACCCGACCGACCCTCTCTCCTCCCATCCGACGGCGACGCAGTCGTATCCCTCCTCTCAGACCAGACCTTCGATCCCGAATTCCCTCCCACAGCCGACGAGCCCACCGAGATAGTCGAAACAGAGCTGCTACCAATGCAACTCACGGCTGAAGACAAAGAAATGATCGAGTCGTTCCGTCGTCTTACACCCCCGACATCGTCCGGCAATAATACATTGACATCCCGCAGTCTAGTCCCAGACATTGGCGACTTTCTAGACACCCTCCCACCAGAAAGTCATTCCGACGTAGCCACTCTGCGAGACACCGTGCTGACGGGTCTCCCCGGCGCAGCGGACTGGCTGACTGTCGAGGACCGATACCACGACGAAGTCTGGGGCTACCTGCGCCCTACGCTAGAGGCTGCGGCCAAGGAACTGGAATCCAATAGGGAGTCCGGAAGCACGGAGGAGGGGCCTGCCGTGCGACGTCTGAAGATGATCTTGAGGCACATGCAGCAATGACCCGGATTTGCCGAGGACGACTCCCGGCTTATTCATATGTTGATTGATATATTGTATTATAATGATCGGATTGGATAAATGATCCCTGCCGCTAGGATATATATACATATACACACATGTTCTATTCGATCTTCACTGATCATGATATACTAGTACTGGTATCATTACAGCTACTATTAACTAAGTAGTTTATGTGCTACTATCATTACTAATGACTTACAATATCTACTAACTAGTGGCTAGTGGCTAGTTATGTCTAAGAACAATTGACTAAGATTGTATCTTACATACTAAAGACAGAGTGACTAGACAGAGTGACTCCTGGAAAAAAACTATTCATCATCACCAAGGGACGTGTAGACATGAACATGCTCGACAAATAAATAAAAGACAAAAATGGGTATGTGATCTCTTCCAGGTTACTTCCTCTTTCTCCAACGTGTATATCTCCGATTCTAATTTTTCATGGAAATGTTTTACAGCTCAAGGCTAGGGGTCTGGCCCTTGACACGGCCGATCACAATGTGACCGGCGTACTTGGGAATGACCTCGTCATCGTGGAGCATGGCGAACTCTGTAATAGAGGGGGTGAATTTAGTATATATAAATTGGTGACGGGATGGGATAAAGTTATGGAAGACATACCTTCTGTGGCATCGCGGCCCATGAAGTTGAAGAGAGCGTTAGCTCCACCGGGGTGCTCGTCGAGCCAGTTGGTCACGTCCAGCACGACACCCTTGACGACAATCCACAGGTCGTCCTTCTTGTTGTGCTTGGCGATCTCCTCCATCGAGTATTCCTTCTCGGGAATGCTGAACTTGGCGGGCTCCTTGGGCTTGGCTGTCTCAGCGGCACCGGCAGGGGTGGCAGCCGACTTGGCGCCCTGGGCCGCGGCAGCGGGGGTTCCAGCCCCGGCAGCGACCTGGCCGCCAGCGGCACCGGAGCCGCCCCATTCGACGGAGATCTTTCCAGGGGTGGATGGGTCGATGTGCAGGGAGATCTGGCCCAGACGCTGGGCGGCCGTGGAGGCACCGCCGGAAAGCAGCTTCTGGAAGAGGTATTGGCTAGCGCTGTCACCTGCAACGCGACCGTACACGACACAGCCCAGCAGGGAAGAACCACCCAGACGGTTGGCACCGTGGACACCACCAGCCAGCTCACCGCAGGCGTAGAGGCCATCGAAGGCTTCCTTCTCGGAGTTGAGAACCTGGGCGTGCTCGTTGATCTCAATACCACCCATGGTGAAGTGCAGGACAGGCTCCATCAGAGCCACGTGGAAGTCGTCATCGATGCTGAAGGGCAGGTTGTGGAAGAAACGCTTGTTCCAAGGGTCCTTCTTCTTGCCCTCGGCGATCAGGTTGTAGTCGTCGAAGGTCTTCTTGAGGGCAGCCTCGCCGCAACCGATCTCCTTGGCAAGCTCCTTGCCGGTCATCTTCTTCATCAAACCACGGCCGGAGTAGTGGCGGGTGTGGAAGTCCAGGACATTGGATGCCTTGCTGTTGAGGATGAGGCGGATGGGCCACTTGCCCTTCTCCTTCTCCTTCCACATCTGTCCCGAGACGTAGTCCCGGTGACCCAGTTCATCGGAGAACCGCTGGCCGTCCGAGTTGAGGAGGAGACCACCCTCACCACGCAGGGCTTCAGCAGCCAGGAACTTGAACTTGGCGGTGGGGTCCTTGGGGTCGACAAGACCCGTGGGGTGCACCTGAACCTTATCCATGTCAATGCCGTTGGCGCCGATCTCCATCAGCATCTTCTGACCATCACCAGTGGCGTGAGTGCCGTTGGTGCTGGACAGACCGAAGGTGTCGGGGCGGTGCTGCTTCAGGAGCGAGCCATCGCCAAAGTCAGCGGCGTAACCACCAGTGGCCAGAACGACCACACCCTCAGCAGTATGCGTCTCGCCATCGTACTCGTAGGTAACACCCGTGACATTGTTTCCGGACTTGTTGATGGAGGTCACACGGGCCTTCTTGAGGATCTGCACACGGTCGGGCTCAGCCTCGGTGAGCTCTTCTAACCGCTGCATGAGGGCGTATGTGATGGCCATTCCGGGGAACTTGGCATCGTGGCCACGATGCGTACGGGGCTGGGAGTGACCGCTGCAATAATCAGCATGGGTTTGCGCGACCAAAAGTTTAGATGAACAAGGAAAGCGCAATACTTACCCTAGCCGAGAAACAAGGGTGAGATCGAGGTTGAAGACATCCTGCAACCACTCGACGGCAGCCGCGGACTTGTATGTGAGGACCTTGATCAGCTCGGGACGAGCCTTATCTCTGGCGGACTTAAGTGTATCATCGTAGAATTGCTTGACGCTGTCGGCGATGCCCAAGTCGACCTGGGTGCGCGTCAAGGCGCCGTTGATGCCGGAAGTGGCCTTGGTGGAGTTGCCACCAAAGAAGGCTGTTTGGGTCAGATCCCAGGTCCTTAATAAAAACAAGAATAATGCGACTGCAATTATCGCAGGAATCTTGGGGGGTTGTAAACATACCCTGCTTGTCTAGAACGAGAACATTTCCACCGTTAAGGTAGACGGTGTGGGCGGCACTAAGCCCGGACACTGAGAGACGAGGCAATGGTCAGCAATGCGGGGAAAGCTATTTCCTGGCGGTGAAGATCAACTCACGTCCACCGCCGACAACAATTACTCTAGGGGCGGTTGCCATCGTTGTGAAAGGAAGATGTAGGAGGAGAGGGGGAGGAAGAAAAAAAGAGATGAGGAAAGAGAAAACAGAAGATAAATATGGGGGGAAAAGAGATGAGAGAAGAGGAGTTTAAAGGGTCAAAGAGCAGGTAGGAGCAAGTAGATCTTTAAGCAGCAGGAGATCCGGGGGAAGAAAGAGAGAGCCAGGCATTCAGAAGCCGACGGGGGAGAAGAGAGTTGCTCACTCGGCCGAGGCTCATCTTCCCCCATTCAATTCCAACTTGGTATGTACCGTACGATTACCGTTCTATGACCCCCCTTCCTCTTATTTTCTATCTTCTCTCCCATTTCCGGTCCGGTAATGTTCCTTCTACTTTTTGAGATTCCCTCAAAATATTCTAAAGTGGATTCGATGGGTCCTTTCTCTTGTCTGTCTGTCTGTCTGTCTGGCCTGTGCTTTATGATTGACTGAATGACGGGTTCTATAACTAGTTTATAAAGAATAATAAGTAGACAGTAGACATTTGATCTCCTCCCCTGTCTTTGAGAAAATACTAGTGAGTTTTCCAGGGACCATCACATGCAGAAGTGTCCGTCACCAGGAGCTGCGAGCTGACCCCTGCGGTGTCTTCCCATGACATACTATTACTTACTACTTTGATGGCAAAAAGAAAAGATGGAACTTTACTCTCTCCCTGACTTTCACATGCCTGGAAATCCAGAAGTTAACCTCTCAACAAATGAAATCGTAGGCTTAAGTCAGCGCGGCACGTCATGCTCTTGGATTAAAAACTCTCACCCCGGATTCAGATTTCGTCTCAATTTTGAGAGGATAGGTCAAACTATCCATGATCGAATTAGTATCTATGTAGTGAATTGAATGTAGCTCCTCCCTTGAAAGATATTATTGTCTTGGTCTCACAATACATATATGTATATATATATTCACGACAGGAATAAATATACCTACCATCAATGAGTTCCATACTATCTATCTATCTACCTACTAACTATTAATACACCCTATTTACTAAGTATCAAAAATACCCCCATACATAACATACACCCATACAAACAAAGACAGGGTACTAGACACCCTGAAGAATGCAATGTTACCCCAGGTGCCAGCCTGCCTCGAGTACTTACCTCGGACCGAGACCCAGAACCCCATCTACCATTCATCGTCACACCACACCCCCGACCATGATCTCAGATCAGCCCATAAACTCCAACTCACTACACCATTTACTCACTTACTCAGTATAGCCCCTGAAGAACATAATGCTACATAAGTCTACTATAAACAAGCCTCAGCACAACAACACATACATACATAATACAAACATACAGAGTACTTCCCCCACATAACCAACAACCGATCCTCTCACCCGTCACCTGACACCCCGGCAATTGACCACCACCTCGCATTCCCACCAATCAGCATCCCGTGATTGAAATTCCGACGACTCAAACTACGTAATGACGTAGATCCCGTCGTTTATTGAACTTGCCTTTTTGGGAAGGTTCGATTGCCGTCACTCCCTTCTTTCTTTTATTTTATGTTAGGAAGTGGCATTCTGCATGCATCTTGTTTAGCTGTCTACTAGGCTAAGTTTCACTACTACTGCTTAATACATTTTAAATCTGAGGTTTGTTCTATTAGTGTCGTATTGTTATGTATGTGTTTATGTATGTATGTAACTGGTCAGTACGGGTTTGACGGACGGACGGGCGAGAGAAAAAGAGAGTGTGTGTGAAGGTTCGGGAATAGATACTCCGAGAGATTCAGTTAGCTTCTGAGCATGAAGATACTCTCGGGGTTATTATTGGCAATTAGATACACCGAAAAGTAGTTGTATTTTCGGGTTTGCTTTTTGCACAGAGGAATATATGCACCATTTATACTCGAATATTCCTATTAATATAACATCGTTGAGCTAAGAGTATGATGGCGTAGTAGTAGCCATTTAGACTATAACAATCTAGACAAACTAATTTGTTCCATAACTCACCTCTACTAGTCCACTACCTCGCTAGACATCTCTGCTGTCCCTTCATCAAGCACACTACTACTCGGATTCTCAAGCCTTGTAATGCGCTACCATGCGATCTGCAGTCATGAGCTCCAGCCCTCCAACCGTTTGCGATTCAGCAAACTCAGCCACACTAACATCGATATTCATATTCCGCCGCACCCAGCTCTTGATTTCGAGTGAAGCAAGGGAATCAATTGGCATCCCCCATTTCTGTCCTTCGTCGAGATCCTGCGATCCGATGAGTGACGAGGAAATCAAGCGAACGGTTTCCTGTATAATAAGGCTGCGAGATTCTTCTGTGAGCATGATATTTGGTCTGCTCGGAGGGCCAAAACTCTGAGAATGTTGCTACTGGATTCACCGGGTCGCTGCTCAGAGGAAGAAAAATCGATATTTGCGTAAGGCGCAAATCGAGCGTCCTGACCATGCCATAAAAGACGACCGACGTGTCGGAAAGTGGTCTGGTATATCCAAGTCCAATTATGACGGACGATGATGTCTGAGTTCCGGGATCAGTGGCGATCGGATCATGGGATCGCATGATACATATCTCCAAGCCCCTCAGACCTCATCCTCATCCAAAAGCCACGTGCCAACATTGACTGTAGGAGTTTTGGCTGTCGGCTGATCAGGCCGACTTCGCCAACGGCTCCTAGCACCAAGACTGAGGATGGCAGACCAAGCTGGCGACGGTATCGTGAGAAACCCTTCAAGGAACGTGTTTGCAGCTGCGTAGTTGGTCTGCCCGGCATTGCCACAACGTCCAACTACAGAGCTAAATAGAACGAAGAAGTCCAAATCTTCCCTTGCGACCGCCTCGTGCAAGTTCCATGTACCCTGGACCTTGGGGGCCATTGATGCCTGGCAATCCTCATAGCTCATTCCGGCAAGGACGCCATCCTATACATAGAGTAATCAGTGCGCTTTCCATTATCACCTTGATGGCCAGAACTCACTTTCAAGCACAGTGACATTTGCAGGACTCCCTTCAAAGGGCGATTTGCATATCGTAACGGCGTTTTGAAGGTCCGCAAGGCTTGCCACACTACCCCTGACACATTGCACATGGCACCCTGCAGCCTCGAGCTCGCATATAAACTCCTTATCGTCCTCAGCAAATCCTGCGTTTCGAGAAAGAAACACTAGGTGACGTGCCCCTCTCTCTCTACCATCCATACGGACACTGCTCGTCCCAATCCTCCCAGCCCACCAACCAGAAGGTAGGATGCATTCGGGTGAAATGACACCGACCTTTCTATTATCGAGCTGGACAGCTGGTTAGAATTGTCAGGCATTCTTACTACTATTTTTTTCCATATGGTTGCCTTGCTGCATATACCGGAAGGCTTCTACTATGTCGCTGGCTTCAAACACTGTGACCGGGTAAATGGGAGGGATATCGCCCTGGGTATATAATGCCGTGAATTTATAAATTACGCTGTCTGAGGTACTAGCCTGCAAATCAATGACGGTCTGATGCTCGGAATACTGACTTGCCATATATCACCCCATTCTCAAGATTATCTGGAGCAGGTCGACACCAAGAAAGGCACGGTTTCGGATAAATGGCTTCAGAGTGAGCATGCCGTTTAGGAGAAAGTCCCGCTTCCCTACTTTCAACCATCCTTCCAAATGGGGCAACGCACGCCCACGAGGCATGCAGCAAGGGTCCAGCGAGCGAATTCTGAACAATATTCACGCCGCGTCCACCTGTTGCTTCCAATACGGAGTGAAGAAAGCTTGTGCTCCTGGAAGCAAATACATGGGAAGAGTGGATGCCCAAATTATGCACGAGATAGTTCCCTTTCCAGTTGAGTTCCAACAGTTGCATAGATTGTTCTCATTCGTTAGGAAAGACGGGGAGTAATGCTTCTCGCCTTAGATACTTTGGCACCACGTATCTTGCATATTTGAATAGCGGCTAGACGGACACCCCCACATGCAGAGTGAATGCGAACAGTCTATGTACTATTATCAAGCAGTCATATCATGCAAGATCAAAACAGGGCATACCTGATCCTTCTGAACCTGTCCCACGTAGTCCAGCGAGTAAATTGCTGTTAAGTATGCCAGCGCCATGCCTGCTGCATATTTCATCGACAGCCCGCTGAGCAGCTTTCTACAGTGTTTCTTATTGATGACAGAATGTGTGCGAAGGATTCCAGGACTCACCACTGACACTTCATCACCAGCCACAAGGTCGGTGACATGCTTGCCAGCTCGCCGAACGGTTCCACTTCCCTCTAGGCCCAGCTCACTTGTGCTCCCAACGTAGCCCAAAGCGGCCAGGATATCGTAGGAGCTGTTAGCTATAAGCCAGCGGTATACGCGCTGAGGAGCACAAAATCTGTAATTCAAACCAACATACTGTCGGTAAACCTCAATCTCATCATCACCCAAGTTCACCCAAGTTCTCTTCGCGATATTCTAACCACTTCAGACTGTCAAGGAGGCCAGCCTTACCGACGTGTATCTTCTTGGGGATATCTTCCTTCGACTTTGGAATGCTTTCTGATCCCCGGGTGGCCAATAACATCGACTAGTGTATATGGTATTCTCATGGAAGGCAGATACGTAATTCAGATAGTTACCTGCCACATCCTTGAACTGTAAGACTTTTTTGGACAATCTTCCCTAGTGCACTTGCAGCATTTTGCTCAAATGACTCAACCTCAAGCATGTATATACCAATCATCAGCTCTTGTCTCACAGATCGCACAAAGCCTTGCCCAAGACCGAAGTTCGGGTCTTCACTAGTGACTTGCGTGCTCTTCGTAACCCATAGTGTGACACACTGATTGATCTGTGCTGAATAATCCCTTAGAGCATGGAAATCACTATCTGTCAATTCGAAAAGAAACGGGACCTCCTGGTCAAGCAAGACTGTAATGCACTTCTTATTAGTTGGTGGATCAGCCAAGGTAGTCCATTCCACCATATACCCTAGGTCTGTGAGCCTAGAATGAACAGTATTCGCCCAGTTACCTGGGGACTGTCGGTCGGTAATTAGCAACGAAATAGATGGTTTGATTGTTGAGCCGGCTATAAGCCTCGTTATTATGGTTGCTGAAGATCGGTAAGGCGCATCAAAGTCGTCTCGTATGATGTCAGTCCCAGTGAAGCCAGCATCATGTAGCTCTTGATTCCGTCCCTCTAGGATCATGTAATGCCCATCGCGTCGTCTGTCCTCACTTATCCACCACGAAGGTAACGCTCCCTATCAAGATGAGTCAGAAGATGTACATATGGATATAATAACCTGTCACCGCGCTAACCAGAGGACCAAAACGATATGTCTCGTTCATCTGAACAGCAGGCGGAGAGATCAATCCAAGCATAGTACGTCATGTGAACGCTTACCATAATATAATCGGTATACAGTGCTTCTACTCCAGACGTTTAGCACAGAACTGATAACCAGAAATTCTTCAAGAGGCCTCTACCTGAGTGCAGCTCATGAAGAAGAAAGTACCAATTTGGAGAAAGCAGCTTCCTATTATGTTCCAACGAACGTGTCAAGCTTGGAGTTGTACAGAGGACCTGCATAGTATGCTAGTGACCCCGTGCTCTTTCCCACAAAGAAGTCTCACATTGGATGCGATAATGAGATCGAATGCGGATTCTGCGAAGCCTTGTTCCAGAGGATCACGTCTTATGTCCAAAGTCACATGTTGCATGTTTTTGTAAGATTCAAATCTGCTACGAGCTTCCTCAAGGGAGTTGGGCGCTATATCAGTGAGCATGTAATTGGAGTACATGGGCACTCCCAAGTTGTATAATGTACGCAATGCGGCTGCGGTGGCCGCTCCAGTGCCCCCAACCGATCTCTAAGATACGTAACCCTGGTTTTGAATGGCAGAGTAGGGTCAAGAAATGACTCCAGTCAACATACTTCTGACCCCAAGCGTAGCATTGCCCCATCAGATTGTTGTTGTTGAGTAGGTCCAGCGCAGTGACTTTATTAGCCATAATGTCTTCGCAGTTTGTATAAATCTGTTCCATGCAGATAACCAGGATCATGGGGTCCTCTTCATGTACCAGTTCCGAGCGTAGATCTTCAATGATGGCCTCCCACGGTCGACATTGGAGCCCACCTGTCACGATAGGAACCTAATATCTGAGCATCGTTGTATATATTAGCTTCTTTCGTCAAAAGCCAATCTTTCCACTTGGATAAATGCGAGGCTTGTGGCTGAATATGCTTGATCTTCTCGACTGTCTGTAAGATGTACATCCCTGCAATTCCGTTCGTTTTGTGTAGGATATCCACTAGGGATTTGGACATCTCAAAGTGTGGGAGCAACACCTGAGGCGGCTGAAAATCAATGTTAGGCCTCCATTGAACCTGAACCACAAGTGGGATGGGACTTGTATTTCCCTCACTGCCATGTGAGAAGTGCATCCCACGCCTCATAGAAAGTACTACATTGTCTTCAAACATGGCAGTTGCATTCCCAGCTAGGAAGTTACCAGTTTCCTGTTTGACTTCCACATTAACGTCCATGTATTCGCCAACGCTCCTGACAAGCAAGTGCTCAATGGAAGAGGGAATGGCATTATGCTTCATGAAGTGCAGTCAGGGAGGATGAACAAGCAGCTTTGATGGCCATGCTGAATACAAAGCCAGAGGTTACTCGTGATTGCCGAATAGCTTCGCTCTGGATTGATCACGTACCTGGGACCCCGGAAGTCGTATCTGTAGGAACACAATTTGCCAAGACATAATCGCCTGTGCCCAGAGCATGATATCTGTCGACAGTCTGTGGATCTCTATGAGCAAGACCTAACCAGTCTCTTCTCCAAAAACACCAACAAAGCAGCCGATATCTTTACCTTCCCAGTCTGTTTCTCCCGCGCTCTCGAGGCATTCCCAAACCAGCTCCAGGAGGAGCCGCTGTTGCGGATCCATTCGGGTTGATTCATGGTTTCGCACGGAGAATAATTGGGCGTCGAAATAGGCCGGGTCTTCTTGCAGGAAATAACCATACTTTGTTTGAGTGGAGCGCTCTCTTGTCGGATGATAAAATGAATCGACGTTATATCTGCTCTTCGGCACCTCACAGAGGCCGTCTTCTTTCATCAAACAATCCCAAAACTAATCGCCTGTGCGAACGCCTCCAGGGAGCCTCATTGCCATACCTACTACCGCAATTGGAGTATATAAGCCTGATAGTTCACTCTCCGATGGTTTAAGACGCGAGACGTCTGGCAAGTCCACATTCGTTGTGCGTTCCCCACAGGGAGCAACCGGGTCATCTCCATTAAGGCCGGATAATGTTGACGGGGGTATCTCCTTTCCCGACGTGAAATAATTTCTCTCATCGTCTCCACTGATTGTATGTGATGCTTGCATATTCTTCGTCATTGAGTGGAGTCGATGATGTGACAATTTAGAGAAAACCTCTCTGTCTTTCTGGCTAAATTTGCTTCAGAGAAATATACCATTAACGTCAGCCACCATATTCAGCAATCAAGAACTTGTACTACTAATTGTGTGACCTTATTGAATTCTCAGGGGGTAAATGGGATTATGGTTGGGCGTCGAGCTTTGTCACTACACACAGCATATGAGTAGAAATTGTCGCAACCTAGCATGCAGTGTGCATGTGGTTATATTTCTAGGGAAGTACCCTAGGCGATATGACGTTAGCACCATGAGTTTGAGAAGCTATGAATAAAAGATTACTTGTCTGTCTCGCATCCAGAGATTGCAGGCTGATTACTCACTCACTGTGCTTTCAGGGCGAGACGACACAGATGCAGTTCTCAAGGTAACATACCGGGTCGGATGGAACTCCAGGCCAGTTGTGTAACTCGTATACGTAGCACGATAATGCAGCTTTTGCGCGGCTCTTTCACGATGTGATATGCTACATGGCTTATCACCAACTGTTCGAAAGGGACCTGAATAGAACGTTCCTGATGTCACCAAACGCTTTGTAGCTGCCGCAATAAGGTTGTATTCGCTGCCGGCAAGTGTCCAAATCCGAAATTGGCAAATGAAGCTGTCGAAAGACTTATTAATCGATCTGGTGGCTTTTCTTCGCCCAGGTGATGGTACGTGGACTTTTTCGTGGCATTTTCCAGCACAGCGGGACATCCCACGAGGGTGTGATAGGTAACGGATATGCTTTTTTGACAGTGAGCTTTTCATAGGCGTCACACTAGCGACTGACGTGTGATATTTTCGATTGGACTGGGATTGCTCTGGATGTCAGCCTTGTAGTTACTCAACGAAGGTGATTGGAACTGGCTTTAGTAAACGTATGTGACATGATCAAAGAGAGTACTCACTTTATAATCCCGATCAACGGGAGGGGATGGTTTCCGAACGCACATCACAAAAGACTGCGAAGTATTTATGGATAAGCTGAACGTGAATCTGTAAGGTCAGCAAAAACATAAGGTAAGAGGGCCAGCATCCCTCAAGCTATTCTAATATCTGTTTGGTGCTGTATTCGCCAGTATTTGGCTGCTGAAGGTTGACTTAAGGAGACAAGGTGAGCTTGAGGTTCACAAAGCAACCTTTTGGCCGTGTGGCACATGATCAAAAGCCACTCAGGTAGTACTTGTGAGACTTGTCGGTCGCCTCGTATGTGAGTAACCAGAGAACCTAATCACCTGTCAAAAGACAGGCTTGCATCTATCGGAGTACTGAAACATGGATGAGAGCAAGTAGGCACAAATAGTTCTACAACGGCCATCGAAACCCATGTCAGAATGGCGAAAGGCTATTATAGTAGAATATAATTATTGCAAAATTATTCGAGAATCTATGAATGCGGGTGAGAATATTAGAGAACCCTCAGGCCTTTCATTCTGCATATAATGCCCTCGAGGCAGTCAGAGTTTTTTTATGCTAAATTGACGCTGGTATGTATGTAGAGGAATGTTCCGCAATTCCAATTAATCCATCCACGTTACACTCTTCGTAACCAGGAATTCCTCCAGGCCCTGGGATGCATTGAACCGGCCCCATCCACTGTTCTTGACTCCACCGTGCGGCAAGACAGCTTCGTCATGGATGGTCATACTGTTGATATGGACAGCACTGCAGAACATCAGCTACTTTCGCATCTCTCTAAAAGCACAGACGGATAGAGGAATAATGGCTTACCCTGACTGGATCTTGCGGGCCATGGCCAGGCCCTTGCGTAGATCTTCGGTGAAGACGGCCGCGGACAAACCATAGCCACTACCATTGGCGATCTTGATTGCCTCTTCATCGCTCTCAACGATCATGCATGCTGCCAAGGAGGCAAAGGCCTCTTCTTGCCAAGCGGCCATCTTTTCATTGACACCACCCAGGAGCACAGGCGCCATCCGAACGCCATTGCCTGATTGAGCTGATTCCTGGTCTACAGATCCGTGGATCAAGTGGGCTCCACCTGCCAAGGCATCCTTGACGAGATTGCTAACTCGTGCTTTCGAAGCCATGTTCACCAAAGTCGGAGGCTGAGACGCAGGGTCTACGCTGGATGTGAGTGCCTCCTTCAGCGCCTCGATGAAGACGGGTGCAATGGAGGAGTGAACAAGAATGCGATCAGTTGCCATGCAGATTTGGCCAGACTATGCAAAATCAGTCATCGGAAGTGAGAATAAGGTAGCATATGGTGTAAGGGCGAGCTACATACGTTCAGATAAGCGCCCGCAAGGACTCCCTTTACAGCAGTCTTGATATCAGCATCTGCACAGACGATGGCGCTGTTCTTGCCTCCCAACTCCATCAAGCATGGCTTGAGATTCTGACCACAAGCGCCCGCAATCTTTCTGCCTACGGCCGTGCTGCCGGTGAAATTGATCTTGCGCACGGCCGGGTGCTCGATCATAGCGTTTACTACTTCGGGGGCATCCTGAGGTCGGCATGATACCAAATTCAGACAACCAGCAGGTAGGCCTGCATCATGGAAAGCGCGCGCAAGTGCCCAGTACGAGCAAGGAGAGAGCTCAGAGGATTTCAAGATAGTCGTGTTGCCCGCCGCAAGTGCACAGGCTGCAGAACGGACTCCAAACACATATGGAGCATTCCTGCTAGGTCAGTAGACAATTCACATGTAAGAATGGTGGCGGACATACCAGGGCACGATCCCGAGGATCACCCCCATGGGCTCCTTGTAGATCATGGCACTTTGGCCCTCCTCTTCGACAACGGGGACGCTACCACAAATGGAAGTGATGCGCCCCGCGATATCCCTCAACATGCGGATCCCGAGTGGAACGATAAAATGTTGTGACGCACCCACATCTGCGCCCATCTCAGTTCGCATATATTCGGCATTCTGCTCGAGGCGGCTCTCCAAAATGTCGGCTGCCTTCAGCAGGAGATCACGCCGAACTGTGGGTTTTGTTTGCGACCAAGAAGGAAAAGCGGCCTCTGCGGCCTCAACTGCGCGGATGGCATCTTGAGCCGAGGCTGATGCAGTTGTCCAGCAGGTCTGGTTGGTATAGGGGCTAATGACGTCGAAGGTAGAGCCCGTGCATTCCTCTTGACCGTTGATGATCAAGGGGATCACCGGGGGGCGGGGAGGTACAGCCATTGTAGGTTCTGTCAATGTATGGGCGCGGGTTTCTAGAAACAAACGATAGTATGTGTTCACGAACGAAACATTCAAGCAATAGGGGTATCCCGCCAGGGGGTTAATAATCGGAATTAATAGGTAAGATGTCGTTCGAAGGACTGAAGCACAATCGAAGACCCTGCATTTGGTGGGAGAGTCAGCCGAGGAGTCAATTGATTACACAAACAAAGCCAATTCTACAAACACGACCCCACCTTTCCAGCTCGGCGGGGGGGAAGCCCTCACTCTAGCCACGTGTGACAACTGCCTCAGGATTGTTCCCAGGATCAATGTATTCTCCCTAAAGTTAAAATCACTATCCTATACACATATGAAACTCGCTACGTTGAGAGTGCCACCTTTTCCAGCGAGGGTGAAGGGCATAAACTCGGAAAGAGACCAATTCTCAGATAGGGGTTCTACGGAGTACTCTCGGGTTTCATGCCACGGCAGATCCAAGTTACGACTTGTCACTATCTACCATTACTATTACTCCCTACTCCAAACCCCCGATGTGATGAATACTAGACAGCTAAGAATGCTAAGACTCATCTCACTACATATATAGTCGATCAATGTTATGCATGCGTGCTGCACACGAACAGGGATGGAACCTTGTTGATACCGGGCCAGTTAAGGTGGCCCTCCAATCCACTTTTAAGAGACCATTGAGGAAACTATTCCAATAGCCGCAACTTTATGCATTGCAAGCCATGTGCTCGCTGACGTGAGGAAATCCAAGACTGCTTGTTGCCTTCCACGTACCTTTCCTCGGAAGCGCCGAGGTTGATCGTTGACTTTAGGTAACGCTCGGCCCTTTTGGGAACCGGCGGCTGTCGATCAAAAAAAGCCACCCGCGGTTCGGCTAGTAAAAGCATTTGGATCAAACAGACATGGAACGGAAAGAGAAGCGGGAAGAAAGCTGGAAGAGAGGAAACTTCAACGATACCTGGATGACTGGACTATAATAGCCTTTTTGGACGAAGACCAGTGTGTGTGCTACATGCCTCATCGCGAGTCATTATTACCACCTCATCCAGGGCAGTGGAGTAGCTGGGACAGTCTGGCCGATTACTACTGCGATGAGTGAAAATTTCTGAATGACTGCAAATAGGCAGAGTCGATTATGATTGGAGGAGCTGAAACCACAGTTCTCCAGTTTCAAGGAGCACGGGGCTGAACATACCCATCTGAGTTCCTTAGGGTTCCCGATAGGCTCTTCTATACCCACCTCACCCTTCGTCAGCCATCGCCTGATCCGCTTGCGCGGAAACACGGAATGCGCACTCAACAGTGAGTGCAATTGAATTCGCGATCGCTCTGAGTAACTTGTTTGATACTGCAGATTATGGGATGAAGAAGATATTGCAGATCAATCAATTCAACAGCAGAAATTAAACTTCCGAATTACCCCAAGCCTGGGGGGATCTTCACTGATCTACTATCAACTTGATGGAGAGTGAAACACTCTGGCGCTATCACCGCCCATTGCGTACGCTCGCCACAATTAATACACTTGGAGCCAGGGTTCCTAGGCCGTGGATCCCGAGTTCCCGATACATTGGAGCCAAGTGCGAAATAGACTAGCTGAAGGTAAATTGCATCTATATTAACTGATATTACGCTGGAAATTACTTCGCATAACCCTGATGAAGTGGGATTGAAGCTCAAGTCGGGAATCGTGGTGAATATGTCGCCAAATGAATTACCTATACTATCCGGCCTACCAGTATTACTGTCTACAAATCCAATGATGGCTTGTTACTTGCCACGAGGGTGGTCTGTCTGTCAACATCAGAGTGGACACACATTGGGACCGCCCCGACTCAAGTCATACGACCGGCTCCACTTGCTTAGCACACCATGGAGGCTATCAGCGTGCACTGGTGAATGGTTTTTCGGGTGCGTTTCAAAGAACCAAAAATTCCAGTTTGTGGATTGTGTGGGAAAAGAGGCACCCGCAAATGAGAGGCTTGCTTTTAAGCTCGCAAAATGAGGGTCCTTCGGCCCCCTGTTCTATGGGCGCGGTGAGTATCCTCATACGGAAAGAGGGCCCATATCTAGATCTACCACTTTTTCCTGCGATCAAGCGTTCGAGGCATGATGCCCTTGGTCCACTCCATACATACTCAATAGGCTTCCACCTTATTTTGTAGCTCTGTCCCTTTTTTCCCGGTCCACAAAGTAGTCCATACTTTGGTATATACTCGGGTTGCCTTCGTTATATCAGAACCTTCCTCATTTTACTTGAACATTCATTATCAACACTCATTTCCATATATACCGCCCAAATGGACTACGAAGCCTAGTGTTCGCAGGCATCATATTGCTTACCCTCGCTCAATCAAACACTCGTTCATGCCCATTCTTCATATCCTAAAGCCATTGTTCCCAGAAACACCCTGTTCAACATGGCTCCTACATCGAGAGGAGTGGAAATGATAAGCATTGTTACGGTGCTTGTTAGTCTCGCATTATTAGCAGTCATCTTACGCATAGTCGCCCGATTCAAACGCAAAGTACATTTCGGGGTGGACGACTACCTTTGCTTCGCATGCATGCTCCTGTTAATTGGCATGCTCATTGAACTGTCACTTTGTGAGTTATCCTAACGAATATTCACCAATACATAGTATATTAACCTTGCTAATAAAAAACCAAAGGGGTCACCATCGGCGGCAATGGCTCCCACCAAAGCAAACTGAGCAACGAAACAATGATGAACTTCTACAAGGTACTAACCGCTCCTACCATATTCACATCCTGCCTTCACCAACTAACCCACCTCAGATCTTCCTCGCCAACCAATTCACCTACTTCTCCCTCTGTCCCCTCATCAAAGTCTCAATCGTCTGCTTCTACCGCCGCATCTTCACCACCCGCACCTTCCAATGGACCTCCTTCAGCATCAACGTCCTCATAAGTCTCTGGGGTCTAGGCGTCTTCCTAGCCTGCGCTCTCCAATGCCGCCCCCTAAAAGCCTACTGGGACCAAAGCGTCGACGGCCAATGCCTAGACGGCTACACCCTAATCGTTGTCAACCAAATCTTCAACGTGGTCATGGACTTCGTCCTCCTAGCCCTCCCCATCCCCTTAATCTGGGGTCTCCACCGCTCCTGGCAAGACAAACTCGCCATCAACGGCGTCTTCGCCCTCGGTGGCTTCGTTTGCTTCGCGAGTATCTTCCGTGTTGTCGTCCTCTTCTGGATCAATGAGTCGGATATGACCTATACCGTCTATCAAGCTACGCTATGGACGCATATTGAGCCCTCTATTGGGCTTATTTGCTCTTGTTTGCCCACCATCCGAGGCCTGTTTCCGAGAGGAAAGCTCTCGAGCAATAACTACAGGTACCGGAATGAGGTCCCCTATTATGGGAATACCGATGTCAGTACCTCGAACTTTGTGGCTACGGGTCGCAAGACTTCCACTGCGGAGTCTATTAAGTTGGAGAATGGTGTCCCGAGAAGGTCGAATTCGAGTGAGGGCGGTCTGCCCTCGAGTGTTAAGAGTAATGATACTAGCTGGCTGGATATTACTGTTCGCACGGAAATTGATGTTAGGCAAGATGATCTGCCGCGGTATTTGAGATGAGGTCGATGGACTGTCAGACTTGGTTCTACAGACCTTCTTTCGCCTCGGCTTGTATGCCAGTCGAGCTTGACGCTCTTGTGGCGAGCAGAGCCGTTATGAGCGATCGTGTCGGGGTGTTTGACGTCCCCCTGAGCTTCGATTTTATGCATCGTGCCTGAAATGGTACAGACCCATACGCATAGCGGTGTCGCGCACAGCTATATGGCACGTCCCTGTGTCCCTGCGCGTGCATATGCTACTACCTGCCACAGCAGATGAGAATTGTCTCTTTGCATACATAAAGAGGCAACTCGGAACTCCATGGATACACAGACTTGGATGCCCCTTTGGCTTGAGATATGGCCAGCCTTGATTATCATTCGGGCATCTCGATACATCGCTTCCGACACAGGTCACAGCTCCTGATCTTCACCTACATGCAACGCACGATATAACATACGCTTCTAACGACCATCACCCACATGTATCATGTACTATGTATTCTGCGCATTTTATTATCATTACGCCTGTGGAACAAACATGTCGCTAGCTAATTTCTGATTCATGGTGTATCATTTCATACCCTCAATGCACTGTCGGCTGTCCAGCTGCAAAATCCTACTTTTATGTTAGCTCACTTTAGTCCGCAATAGCACTCAAACAATAGGACTCACCGGAAACGCATTGGTGATGCTCGTAGCCACTCTCTCCACATCTTCAGCCAAACCCTGCACCCCAGCATCCCACTGCCGGATATGCTGTCCTGTAGTGGCATTCCCTCCGTCAAAGTATATTATTCCATCAATCTGATCAATACTCCCCTTCAAACGACCCTGCTCGACCATCCTCGCCGCATAATCCTCCGCCTTCTCCCCCGCCGTGAAGTCCCCACTCCCCTGGAGCCCCAGGATCGCACCCAACGCATCAGTCGTAATATTTTCGTAGAGCTTGCTAGCCGCAACCAAATTGTGTTCAACAACAGCCTTATCCAGCACGGTAGACCCATCTGCCGTCACAGCCAACTGATGCGGCGCCAACCGCTGCGCAAACGCAGCCACCTCCTCCGGATTCAGCAACCGATCCAGGAACATTTTCTCCAGAATAGCAAACTCATCCACCGACGTCGACCGATCATCCTTATACAGCGTAGCCAGGATCCGAGACCGCTGCGGTCCAGCCGGAGCGAGCACGGCGCACCGAATAGCAGCCGCCAAAGCCTGCAACCGATCCTGTTCATCCACTCCCGCCGCAAGACTAACATTAAAGTATTCCTGACTAGCATCGAGGAAGCGCCGACGAGCATCCAAGATACGAGCCTGGGATAGCTTAAAATGCAGCTTCAACTCGTGATCCTCAATCTTACTCGGCAGGTTCTTTATGCGGTTCAAGAACGCTTCCGCACTGGTGGTATCATCCTCCTCGAGGTAGTATCTCACGATCCGAATCCATAGTCGCACCTTGGCGGCGTCGGAGACTAGCCGCTGCGAACTGTCGATGTGGATGCCCTGCAGGGCTTTCGCAGCGTCGGTGTACTGGCCTTCGGCTTCGTAGGCGTCTGCGAGGAGCTCGCGGATCTGTGCATCTTGTTCTTCGACGGAGGTAGAGCGGGATTGGAGGAGGGTGATGGCGTGTTGACCGACGCTGATTTGGGTTTCTTGGGTGAGTTTGCGGAGGACGGCGATGAAGGAGTCGAGGATGGGGCGGGCGGCGACGATGCTGATGTCTTCGCTGAGGACGGAGTCCAGGAAGTAGATTAGGTCTCTGGAGATCTGGGGTTCTGTGGATGTTGCTACGATGTCGCTGAAGAGGTTGTTGTAGAGCTGCAGCTTGTTTTGGGGGTTCGCGGAGGATTCGATCTCCGCGAGGGCGGAGGTGATTTTTTGGGAGGCCATGGGTGTAGTTATGAGACTGGTATGTGATTGTGAGGTTGATGTGGAATATGGTATTCGAGTAGGCGGGTAATTGCGGGTGGAAGTGGTGTTCCCTTGATGGGCAGAGGGGTTGATGAGGTGGTGTACGTCAGGAATATGGCGTGGATGCCGATGGAGGAGAAGTGAAGCTGGGGAGCTTATCGATAAGGGACTACAAGCACAGCACTCAATGCAGCACATCTAATTTAGAGATTTGCAACGTTCTTTGACTACTGACCTTGGGCAAAATGATACAATGGGTTATTCCTGTCTAATGCTTGAGTACTCTGACACTTCATGGTATACTAAGACTCCGTCCTGTACCTCCCCAAGAAATACATTCCTAGTGACGGGGGTTACCGCCTCAGGATACGGATTTTCCAAATATTGTGTGGGCTGAATTGGAACAGCCGTGTCTAGTAGTTTGAGCAAAAGCAAATTATCCAAAAGAATCTTTAGGTTAATGTTAAAGTTGAAAGCTAGGACGCCGAGGCAGAAGTATGAATGGAATTGTATTAATGTTTTCCTATTTAAAGTGCAAGTTGCCCACCGCCTTTGACGACCCGCTCGGGCGGCGGGTTTCTTGCTTGCGGCGACGCATCTTCCCCATTCGAAGCTTCAACATCGCGTACGTCACTGACGCTTTCTTTTGGACTCATCTAATCCCTTGATTTGTCGCTCTCTTACGCCTCGGTTACGATCGCTTCACTATCTTCGGAAAGTTGGGCTATTAGTCAACACTTTCTTGTTTTCCGCTCCAGTATTAGGCTGTGTGGCGCCATGGTCCCCCAAGTCAAACAGGAGCCTGATTCCCAGACACCATACATCAAACCCGACCCATACATCAAACAGGATCCCGACAGCAAGGATACAGTGCTCGCTGATATCGACGATGAAGACTTGTATGAGGATGCGGGCGATCTAGACTTCTCGGCTGCAAACCAAAGCGTCTGGCTTTCACGGCTGCCCCGGTCACTATGGGAACATTGGGCGCATCTGTCAAACAGCGCCGGCGATGACGACGAGGAAATTCAGATCGGGACAATGAGGATCGAGGGTACACAGAATGATCTCAAACGGGTATGTCTCCATCGGCGAAGAACTTTGTCGAGGGACCTCGGTTTGTGTTTTTGTGTTACACGGACTGACTTTTGTGATCTTTGTAGGTCAGTTTGCGCATAAACGCACGAGAAGACAATCGCGATATTCCTAAAGACTACCTACTGCAACGGCAAACGATAACTTCAGAGAACGTTTCGCACTTGACGCAAAATACGTACCTTTTCACGGAGAGGGACCTCCCAGGTCATGAGAATCGAATGGTGGTTTTTGGCGAGGCGCGTTCGGCGCTCTATGAGTCGATGAAGCGAGAAATGAAGAAGAAGGAGCGCAAGAAGAAATGGGAGCCCTACGTCAGAAAAACTGTACCGAGTATGTACCCTGTTACTGCGACAAAGGTGGTCTTGCTGACATTGTTGCAGAACAAACGGCTTTGGTCGGGAGCGTGAGTGAAGAGTTCAACTGCCTTCCGGTTGAGAACGAGGAATTCCGGCGGCTATCGGAGAAGAAGGCTCTGGAGGCACTCAAACCGAAGCGTGAGACTGTATTTATCGATAAGATTCCGGGCAAGATGCTCCAGCCGCGAAATGCATTGCCTGGAGAGAAGGGTGCTTTTGTGGTAAGCTTTCCTTTGCCGTGCTTATTAGTTCTACTTGACTTACAAAATACTTTCCATTCCAGCAAGCAACGAGGCCAGCCAAGCCCAAGGCCCAGGAAAACAAAACCACGCGTATGCCTCAGAACGAACTGTTGGATCTTATCTACCAGTGCTTCAGGGAATACAAGTACTGGCCATTTAAGAACCTCAAGGCGAGACTGCGACAGCCCGAGGCTTACCTCAAACAAACTTTGGAAATGGTTGCGCATTTGGTCAAAGCCGGTGACTTTGCTATGACCTGGGAGCTGAAGCCCGAAGCGAGGGAAAGCAACTACGCCAATGCGATGTACAACGATGCTAAGGATGAACTCGCACCGGGAGACTACAACTTCGAGGATGGCTCTGAAGAGGAGGCCACTCCTTCTGGCATGATGACAGATAATGACGAAGGACAGTTCGAGAACGTTGTCTAAGGATACGGAGGATCCTATGTAGCATAAGGGCCATGGCGTTACTTTGGGGTTTGGGTGATTTAATACAGGCTGTTTAGATAGTATATTATGAGCGCCTAGATGACAGGCCCAACATCTAACACACATTTTTACAGAACAATATCATCGAGCTGAATCGCTCAAGTCAAGGAAAATTTCTTTGTTTGTTCGAAGTAGAAAATCTCATAACATACTCCGTTACTCCGTAGTCATTGTCAGACTATAGACAGCAATGGCATCCGTACAAAGCGCAGGAACACGTGACCATCGGCCGCCACACACCGCGTTCCGTCATTTCATCATCCGCATCATCAACACAAGCTCATCTCTTACAACTCAGCGGCGTCTGTCATTCAGCTACCCAGTATAGACGAAAGATTCTACTTTGAGTGACTTGCTAACGTGGCTTTGGCCGCCTACTCAGGTTAAAATGACAGAAGATCAGGATCTGATGGCCAAAATCAGCCAGCTTGCTGGTAAGCGCATTCTAGCTATCCATAACCGTGCCGGCCTCTAACCTCCACCAGGCCAGATTAATAGGCACAAAACTCAACAGTCTCAGCCTGAGTCTCCCTACAGTAGTGAAATAGCTCCAGGCCAACACGTTTCGCGACATGTTCCTTACCGAGGTCGCGGGTGGGCGCCTTATCGTGGACGACACTACTCACGAGGCCGTCATGTAGCTCCCCATCGCCACCGTACCCTCATCCTCAACAACGCAACATCAGGTACACCTGGATCGGCTACTCCAGCTGGCACGGGGACTGATACAGACGGTGAGGCGCGATCTGCAACACCAAATGAGTGGGTTGTGAAACGCGATCGTCATATGCAGCTCATCAACACTTCGATATACGACAAAGAGACACAAGCGAGGACGAAGGCGATGGAGGAGAGTCGCCAGGCCAAGGCGCAAAAGAGAGCACAGGTCGAGCAGGCGAGAGTTATGAATTACGCACAGGGCGTTGGCAGAGTCCATCCTACGGGCTTCGCGGCTCCTCAGGTGTCAACTACTGCAGAACCGTCAGCGGAGTATCAGGTTTACGTCAACGACATACCGTTTCGGGTGTCGCGCGGTGGTGGCAAGCTGATCCGAGTGTCTGGTGCGTGCGCTGTAGATGCTCTGGTCAAGCGAACTAGCTTACCGGTCATAGATAATCCGAATACTGCCAACGCTACGCCAAAACGAGTGACAGTGGCAGGCGTCGCTTTTGTCCGGAGCAAGAACGGAAATCTCCACCGCTTGGGTGCTGTTACATCAAAAAGGTGGCGGTTGTGTTGTCCATGTGGCGAGTTTGGAAGCTTACTTCAAATATAGAAAACCAATGACGGTCAAGAAGAAGAACGCACTTTGCCAGCGATTCACTACGACGGGTACCAATGCTTTCCCTACACGAGGCCCTGAGTGGCCCTTGCCCCCATCTCATTATTGTTTCATCTTTTGCGGGATCACGCTGATCAGGATCTCCAAACGTTTAGGCAGCTGTTACAAAGGACCAACATGTCCCTATATTCACGACCCGAACAAGGTTGCAATGTGCAAGGACTTCCTCCAGACTGGTCAATGCAATGCAGGTATAAGTTGTGATCTCTCTCATGAGCCCTCGCCCCACAGATCCCCTGCCTGCGTGCATTTCCTGCGAGGGCGCTGCTCCAACCCCGAATGTCGCTATGCCCATGTTCGTGTGACCCCGGGCGCTCCTGTGTGCCGGGACTTTGCGGTTTTAGGATATTGCGAAAAAGGTGCCGAATGCGACCAACGACACGTTCACGAATGCCCAGACTATGCGAATGAGGGCGTTTGCAACAAGAAGCGCTGCCGCCTCCCCCATGTTGATCGGGCAGGACAGATCAGGAAAAATGCCGCTTCTAAGACAGATGCTACGGGCCTTGCGGAAGAGTCTGACGCATCCAGCGAGGAAGAAGAGTACGATGAGATTGACACGGATGACGTCGATTCGGATGATCTCGATGAGGATGAGCCCCAACTCATCGCGCCCGAGTCAGATACTGGCGAGGTGTCGCAACAACAGGACTACATCCGTCTCTAAACATTCATACCCACTAACCTTACTACAGTCTGTAATTGAAGTTGGCTTGGATTTTACGGATACCCCAAAAAGAACAAGAAACGGGCAATGGCAAGAGGAAAGAAAAGCAAATAAAGCAGAAAGAAAGAAACAGAGAATAAGAGGGAAATAATTCATTACATAGTGGCCAATTAATGCCTGCCTTGAAATTTTGATACCTTACGGAATGTCGTGTTCCAGTCGCAGATGAAGATACCCCTATGCGTTCAGCATGTTGTTTACTTGCAGACGGTGTGTATACGAGTCCGTTTGACGATCTTGGATAAGTCCTAAGGGTTGGTAAGGGATGACAGTTGGAAATGTAGTTCTACATGATGACGTTGTGTGTTGAGATGTGAAGCCATAGGTAGCTTACCAATGAAGATGAATATCAATTTTCTGTTTCAGTTTCTGATTATTGTATGCGACATCTCACTTACTTCCCTGCTGCAGACATTGCTTCAGACTAGCCACACGTGCTGCCCAGGGTGAGTCCGGGGCGTCAGGCAGTACCCATCCCCCCTGTGTCCTCACATGGCGACCCCAGAGAGAGGGAGACAGAGGCAGACCGACGTGTGTGAGTCATACTCCCCCAACTTGACAGGAAGTCAGGTCGAAGACAATCAAAGCCGACGACCCCCACAGCGTGGATCCGCGTCCGATGCAATGCAATGCAAGCTAGCTCTTTAGTGTAGCGACTAACGGTGAAGATAACCAGCTAAGGGGAGGTACCTGGTCTCTGGCTGGTGCACTGCAAAATCCTAGCCATGTCAATGGCTGCTTTACCCATATGGTTCGCATGGACCAAGGCGAGCCACGCTGCTTTTTTGTTCCCTTTCCGAGTCCCTCTTTTTCTTTCTACCTAACCCAACTTTTACTTACCGCGTGTTCCGGGATGGCACGGGCGTTCTTTGTGCCGGTTGGAGCGATCAGGGCCGGCCGGAAGGACGACGATGAGACGCGACACCCGCCATTCCATGCCATGCCATGCCATGCCTTGAACCGTGCTGATGCGGATGCGGATTGCGGACACCAACGAGAAGCTGCCAGCCAGGCTGTTTAGTAGTCGAGTCTAAGCAAGTCGAGTTGAAACACCTGTCCTAGGGTCTTGTTTCATGTTTGTTAGTCCCGACTTTCCCATTGCCTCGTGGCTTGCTATTACTGTCCTGGCCCGGGGACCGGATGTCCTGGCACCTATCATCAATCCTCCTACTCACGTACAGAGTACATACATGTACATATCTGTACGCACAATCTTTGCTCCGTCCGACTACTACCGGCAGGGGGACCTTGCTTAGGCGATAATTAATAAAAGCTCCTTGGGGGGGTCTCAGTGGCACGATGTTTGTTCCGGGGATTGAGGAGGGGAGGAGGGGGCCTTAGCGACCTACTGCCACATGCCACAAGCCGTAGTCTGTATGTATGCATGGGGAATATCCATACTGCCTACTCACTAACTAACCAACTAGGTACTAGATAGATGACCAGGATGAAGGTACAAGGCAAGAGAAAAGAAAAAAAAAAAGGGCGATCAGATCACGGACCGGTGCAGTCAGTCAGTCTGTGCCTGATGACAAGCATCACCGCCAATTGGCCCGGATGGACCAGTTACGAGGGGAATGGCCCAATGACCGACATTCCTTCAACACCGATATTTTGCATCTTTAGTTTGGTTCAGATAGCTACTTTGGTATCTACCCGATGAGGTGCCCCTCGTTTAGCTTTCTGGGGAAGATACAAGTGGGATCCGATAGGCAGAAGTCTTCGAGAATGGTCGACGGGGTTCCACTATGTTAATTTCTTTTGTTCACTGCAGTCGAGGACCGAACTGGAGATGATACCGCAGTTTGATATACTACTAGTAGTTATGAGTAGTCAACCAGGGCTCTTTTGTTCCTTTGACTGCCCAGCATACCGCTGATTGGCGGAAAGCCGTAGATCAGGCCGGGAAACGTGACTTAGGGCGGTGTTGCTGCTGGAAGTTGCTTGTTCTATGTCTAGGTACTAACTGACTACAACTCTGGTGCCTAGCAATGAACTAATTCCAATTCTAAAGAGTAGATGCTATTCTTACTATCCTATCCTACCTCAGTCCTCAACTGCAAGTCAATCAGTCCCAGAAATTACCTCATTTCATCGCCCTCTGCTTCCTGCTTCGTAACGCACACTACTAAATTTATACGATCAGCAGCCTCGTTGGGCAACAATGGTATCATGCAACCGAGTCCGAGAAAGCCAATCTTCGAGAACGAGACTGACCGGCCCACTGACCCGGGAGCTTCCTTAATTCATTCAATTCGAGTATGACAATGCTCTCACAAATTATGCATTCTCTCTGAATAAGCCTATCGTCGTCGATCGTCCGTAAGCCATTGGCTTCTGAGCAGTGTGGTTATGATTGTGGTAGAGCCACCAGCACGTCCAATCCGATCCCTTGTAAGAGCCAAAAGAATCACCTCAACCCATTGCTGACGGCCAATTCCCTAGATAGCAGCCCGCATGCGCTGATTCTTCAAGAGGCGAAGTCTTAATTTCCGTTCAATCAGCACCACTCCACCGGTCGCTTCTCTCGCCTCTTTCAATTGGACCCGGGGCTGGTGTACACCGCCAGAATGGCCACTCGGCATCGTCATCGCAAGACGAGCGATTACCCGGAATGGGGACAGGTCGCCAGTCACGGCAGGCCCGAGATGCTCCTTCTCCTTGTTCTGATGGCAAATTTCGAAATGAGAAATCAGATTTAGACTTGTCGACTGCATTCACGTGTCTGCCGCTTACCACCCACCACCCCCTTTCCCCCGGCCTGATCCTATCCAGGACCCCGGGTTGAATAACGGTCAGGTTCCATACCCACACCCAACTCTTTCCCTTCCCAACCCACTCCTGCACACCGTACATGTTCGCCTCCTTTGCTGCAATTCCAAATCACCATGAGGATTCGCCTTAACCCAATGAGAAATAGAGAAAAAAAAAAAGAACACCAAGAAAGAATTCTACTGCTTCTAGGGTAATGTTTCAAGTTGTCTTTTTGGCTCGTATCCGATTGGGTTTGCTTCCATTGTCTTTGTTGTTCACTGCTGATTTGCTTCTGACTCGATATCGGATGCAATCTGTTCCTTCGTCCCCTCTTCACTTGGTGCATGAGATGATCTGAACACCGGCAAAGTTCATGCATTGCATCAGCAGTAGCAGCAGCAGCAGGCATATGTAGGGCAAGCTAATTGCTTTTTTGTATTCTCTGTCTTCTTTTGCATTTCACGTTCCACGCGATTGTCGCGAATAGCGGGCACCGCTGCTTTGCCGGCCCTGGATAAGTATGACATGCTTACGACTGACTCTTTACTTTTGGGATTTCCATGCGTACCCGATACCAATGCACATCGGTAGTAGTCGCTGCGTCGATGAGATGATCGATACATTCTCAATTCCTTCTCAACCCATCCCGCTCTTGTCCTTGATTATACGTACCACAAGGTAAAATTGCCTATCTCCCTGTGAAACGTGGCATCCAATCTTACTCCATACAATAGCTCATTTATCTTTACACAGTATACCAATGACATAAAACATAAACACAGACCAGTAAGGCTAATCCTACAGAGTAAGCAACAGAACCAACTCATGACATCAACACACATACAAACCCCAATAACAGCTCCATCCTAGCTCATCATCAACAACAACCTGAAACACCAAGTCATCAAGGGGATGATGGATTTCCATCCCAATTAGGAAATCATCTAGACCGGTAAAGCTTCGAGAAAACAAAGCGGAAGAGGAGGGGGGGCCGTAGACAGTGTGACTCATACCTACCTCTCTTCTACTTTCTGTTGCACTGATACTACGCAGCGCACATACCAACAAACCTCCGCGTACATACACAGTAAGTGGTCGGTGACAACGTCCAAGCTTGCTTTGCTTGCTTTTGCTTGCCGACTCGACTAACTACTAACATACTATTCTAGTAAATAAGTAGTATAGTGCAGTGAGTGAGTGGGTCTTGGATTCTTCTGGTCTGTTTCATCTTATCGATAGTAGATAGTTGGCGGTAAGCAAGTGGACTTTCCAGTTGCTACTTCGGTCCTTGTGCATACTGTAGGATTTCGGGGACTAACTAGACTACTATGTTATGTTATGTTATGTTGTTGCTTTGGGGCGGTGGATGTGGATCGGCGCAGGCATTTTTGTGTAACTATGTACTATGCTTAGCTGCTTGAGATTTGATTGACATATTGAGGATTTTCGGGATATTGATGCCTCGAATCATGGGGACTAGGACACGTTGGTTAGGGGAGGAGGAGGAGGAGGAGGGGTAAGGTGATGCTGTGATATCATGCTATCGGCCGAATTGAAGGCGAAGGTTTTTCGGACGTCATTCGTTTCTTCAGCTGGTAAGTAGTATGAGAGTAGTGATCTTACTATGGTAGGTGAGTAGTTGTGATGCTATAGTGTCTGAGGATATGTATTGTAGCATCACTGCGTTAAGCCAATCATGGAGGATGGAAAAGCGATGCTTGCTACATACTACTCACTCACTCAGTCATTTCCAGGACTAACCAGTAACCTACCTACATATTTTGAAACACCACAAGCCATATGGCAACACCCAGACAAGGCAAACCAAGGCAACGCAACATGTCTAGTTAAGGCACATACCACATCTACCTCACCCCTTATCTGCAGAAGCAGAAGAAATTCACAATTCTACAACCAACTACAGCCTCACATCACATTACCTCCAAGCTCGAAACTCTAGCTCGAGCTCGAGCTCCAGCTCCAGCTCTAGCTTCTGCTTCTGCTTCCTGCCAAGCCAAGCAAAGATAGGCGCAAACCGTTTCTTGCCTTGGCCATGGCCATATGCTTCAACCCAAACTCGCCCTGTCTCTCTGCATGAGAACCCAGATCGTGCGGTGCGCACGGCCAAGGATCCGAGCGAGATGCGATGACATCGATTGGATTGGATTGGTTTTCCCCGCAGGAAAGTGCAAGAAAAGGGGGAAGAAGCAGTGATGCCTTACCTGGGGTTAATTACTGGTAATTATCAATTTTGTGATTCTGGTATTTAGTTGGTTGAGTAATAGGGAAGAAGTAAACTGAGGTAAAGTACGGAGTAGGTACTTAGTAGAAGGATGACGAATTCTGTTTAACTGTTGATGGTCACAGGTGGAAGGAGGGAGGGACGGGATGGAGGATGCGATTGATGATAATTTACTCCGTGTGTCCTTCCTAATTGGGAAATTACCAAACATTAATTTTTTTTTTTTTTTTTTCGGTCGATAGACTGGATGAATGAATGACTTCTATCTCGTGACTCCGCCGTTGGAGGTTGTTTAGGTAAGATGGTTACCTAAGGACGAAACAAACAGGGTGAGTGGATATGGCTAGCCTAACAGTAGATACTAGTATCAACCGCCACACGAAGAGAAAGAAAAAATGCAGGTGAACCGTCAAAAGTGGATTAAGCTCCATAACTTGATGGTGGTGCTTATACCAAAAGAGGTAATTTAACTTGACTACTACCTACCTGCCTGACTAGTGAAGCACAGAGGTAGGTAGGTAGGTAAAGCCAGTGACTTGCTTACTTACAGTAAACTAAACTAAACTACTAAGAGCCTGGCATCAACGCCAGAATCGGGAAACCAAAAAAGCAAAGAAAAACACCCGCTCGGCAAATCATCCCCAAAAAGAAATATAATTAAATCAATCAAACCGTAAACCTGATTAAGATCTGTATCTGACTGGAGGACGTCCAGTCCAAGATGAAATCCAAAGAGAGAGTGTGTGTGTGTCCGTGCCTTTTTGTTTCTGCATCTGAGTTGCAGCTTCCGTGCGGTACGTGCATTCCAGGTAATCTGTCATGGAATTGGTTCGAAAAGCACGGGCGGGCACGGGTGTGTGTGAGTGAGTGTGTGTGTCGCAACAGAACGGGTGTGCATGCGATGCGCGCGCGCGCCGATTGAAGGGGCCGCGCGGGCAGGCAATGACCCAGTCTAACCGAAATGGCAAAAGGGCCCTTTTGTTTTGCTTTGGTTTTTGTTTTGTCGTCCACCCGTGGAATGACTGGCCGGGTTTGGTTTACTTTGTGGTTATTGGTTGTGGATCAACTTCTTTGGATGGGTTGGATGGATCTCCCTTCCACGGGCCGGCCCTAACGGTACCAGAGATGAATTCGTGGTGGTTTCCTAGGTTCTCTATCGAGGTGCTATGGAGAGGAAAAAGCAAAATAGAAGCATGTGTATAGCATTGTGGTGGGGGATGATAATGGTAGCAAGTGAAAGCAAACATCTAGGCTTGGGTGAGGCTGCTGTCACGGGCATATCACACCAACAATAAGAATTACGATAAGAACGAGGCTTCAATGAAGGACGCGATGCTAGCCCATCGGATCATTCTCTCCTCTAAGCCGGTCTTAGCAAGAAACACTCCGTACTTCTTCATCAGCATCAACAGCCTGATCCAGCCTCAGGAGCTTCTTGGTTCCCAGCGCTCTGGCGTGCAATGCTGATGATCACAATGGAAATAGTTTCCTCTCAGTCAGTGAGGGATGTCGCACTGTCGCGCGCGCGAATGATTGGTCATGCCCGCAACTGAAGGCTGGAGGGCGATACGCTTCATGCCCGGGGGTGTGGGATGGGTGGTGGTGTTCCGTATGTATTGTATGACATCGAGTCCGTCCATCTGATCCCAAGCCCGCCTGCACTCTCTTCCTCCCACCGGAAGAAAAAAAGTATGAGGGGGAGGGAGGGGGGTATGGCCTCATCGTCTGGTATTCTTGGTATCGTCCTGTAACTCACGACTCGCCGTATCCCAGGGGTCGATCATGGGATGGATGCACACTGACTGAGCGCACAGACAATCTCCTCTTTTGGGCATCATCTATCCCAAATCCAAAACACCGAGGAGCCAAGAGAGCCCCCCTCCTCCTCAGGTCCTGGTAGGATGAACGGGCCTGTTGTTCAGGTACCTACCCACCTACATATGTACGTACATTATAGGATCATCATCGAACCTGAGGATGAATAGGGAGGGAGGGGATGTGTTGTGGTGTGGTGTGTGCTTGAAACCATGGACCCAGTGTGCTGGACCCCAGGTACCAATCAATCGTTTTGCGTTCCCGGATGTAATTCAATCGATTACTGTCGGGAGGGATAGAGAAGGGAATCGCATGCCTGAGTTCGGGCTGCTACGGGATAAGCGACTGGCAGAGAGAGACAGACAGACACACAGAGAGAGAAGGACAGGCACATGGATTGACGGAAGTTTCGACTGTATCGGATAGAGGGGTCGTACTGTCAGGAATGATCGAATCGATAGGCTCTCGATATCCGATTTGTGGCCCCACCCGTAATACTAACCATGGTTCTGATACCGACCACTCTCTGCACCCACTACACTACTTACAGACATCTAACTAACTAACTATACTAGCATGGAAACTTATGGTCCCTACTCCTCCTACTACGGACTTAATTAGTACGACTCCGGTCTCTAACCCATTCTCTATCCGGAGACCGGCACTCACTGGGAAGGGTAGTATCTACGAAAAAAGTAGAGTCCCAGTTGAGAACTCATCCCGAGCGGCTATCCATCGGTCCGGATGATTGACTGATGTTGGTATTCCAAAAGTCAAAAGTTAAGGTTAGTTGAGACAGGCAACGGCATATAGCCGCCGTTATTGACGGGCGAGGGCTCTTTGTCGATATTGTTGGTTAAATTTGGCGGTTAGGATTGATTATTATTCTATTCTAATTATGCGACAGTTGGGGGGAAGATCCCACCGAATTCCTTCGGCCTATCATCTATCACATCCTGCACTATGTATGAGTCGCATCTGGTGAAAAGCATACTCACTTACTAACGTCGACAAGTATCTCCTACTTTCTAGTTTCTACTATTATTGCTAGATGTTTTAGGTAGGAAGTGACAAATCCCCATGGATAATGGTAGTGCTTTCTTTGATATCATTGGGAAATAGAATGAAGAAGGTTAGGCCTACAATAAAGTACTACAGTAGATAGTAGACTACCGGCAAGGCGATCATCGGGATTCTTCCAGGGCAGCAATATTCTCGCTAGTTAGCCTCCTTAGTCCGCTAGTAAGTACCTACATTTGATGATGTGAATAACCTCAACCTTTACCAACCCAGGGGATAAGATCAATCAGCATGGGTACTACACGAGAAGCGTCACGATCATGATTCGTCTCTAGTCAAAAGCACTCGGCGAGTAACCAGCCAGGAACGATGATTATTCATCCACCCTTCTCGTCCCAAAGGTTCCCCTGCCAGCTGCACGTCTGCCCAACGAAGCATCCAATGATCGCTCCTCGTTAATCTCGGGAGCAGTCAGAAATGTCGCCTCGTCTTTTGACTTTTCCGCTGACCGCCGGATGCTCGTTGGGTGGTTTTGGGGTGTGCGGCCGATTAGTGAGCGAGGAAGTGCGAGCGATGGGTCTGTGGTCTGTGGTTCTACCTACTACTTTGTTTAGGGCCGATGGAGAAGGGAAGAAAGAAGGCCGTGGGAA